TATTGATACTCCAAGGAAATTTAAATCCGACCACGTACAGGATACCATTATTCTTTCCACTGACTTGGGTTCGGAAGCTCCGGGCATCGCCTGTTGATCGTGTGTTGTTGGATTATTAAAGTTTGTGTCCGAGGTTCTCGTCTTCTTACTATTCGCCGTGCTAGGAGTCTGTATCAAGCAACATAGCTGGGGATAGAGTATTGCCACAATCCGCATTATCATATTGTTTGCTCGCTGCGTGACCGAACCGTAACAAACTGGCTGTAGAAACTTCGGTTATGACATCCCAATCCACTACGCTGTGTTTTGGCTTTAGAAGTTTCCAATCCCCTAGGAGGGTTTGCAAACTATTCAGAAAACCAACTCGCATATATATTCACCAGTCGGAATGCAATCCCAGATTGCATTGTACCCGTCTCTTACTCAATTTTGTAACCCGCCACCGCTATGTTTGGCCGGGATGCCTTTGGAGGGGAGATGGTGGCTCTAATCTAGACCACTCGTGCCACGTGATCGGAACTCGATTAACTTTCCAAGTGAGATGTTCTCACACAAACTGTAGGATATCGCCCTTTCTGGGCGGTACGAAATCAATGAAGTATCCTGTCATTTTTTATTATGTATTTAAATATTCTAATTCTGATGACAAGTACCTTCTACTGTTTCCCCAAAATCTGATTCTAACTCAAATCCGTTTACGTTTGCTACTCACAGGAAAACTTGCGGAAGCGTCGGTTAGTCTACAGGAATTTCACCGATTAACAAGGAATAAACTGTGGAAAAACAATCAAGGACAGTTATTACAGAAATTGGCATCGACTTTATTGGTAGAAAACTACCAACGACAAATTGACGAATGTCCCCCGGACTACCATTCTGACCGCATACAGCTGTGTCACAAGGCGCAAAAAATCGCCATTGAATGTAAGCTTGATATCACTGGCTAGTCTCTGTGAGCCACATACGCCGAAAATCAGATAGTCATTTGACTTCTTATTAAACTAAGGTTTCCTTTCAAATGGTTTGACACCGAACCTCTCTAGTATTCAAGATTATGCCATGACATTCGACCATATGCTTTGGAAAGCCTTGGCCATCTTTTGCTTACGCCTTGTCGAAAGAGATTTCTTTCTTCTCAGCTGAACCTATTTTCTCTACTTGGCTGCTATGTTCCATTTCAATCCCAAAATATACTCAGGAACAAATGTTCCTGGACTGACATCTTTCAAGGTACTATTGACGCGAGATATATGATTGATTATATGTTGGCCCGGATTGTAATCCCAAGCCTCAAATCTGTGTTGTGGGTCAGTGTATCTTGAGGCTTCTCAAAGGCAATGGATGGATTGATTACTGACACCATGGGAGGTATGTAGGGGTGACTGGAAGCATTCAAATCCCTGAAAAATGCTGCTTAACAACAATGTTTTCCTCCTCCTTATCATCATCATGGTCATCCTTATCATGCCCATCAAATCTACTTGTATTAACGTCCTGTAAAACCACAACGTTTCATCACGGAATGTCGATGCTGTTGAGCACCTAAAGGTGCATTTTTGCCTTCTGACCCTCAGTTTTACCGAGGATGAGCCGTTTTGATGAGTAACAATTTTCTTTTTTGTAAGCAAAGAAGTATCATAGGGAAGGGTTCGGAACAGATTGTGAAGTCATCGTTTCAGAAGAGCTTGATAAACAATCGTTAGTTTTTATTTGGGCAACAAGAGCCTTATCAGGCCAAGTGAGCAGGTCACCAAATTGGCCAGGTTATAAGACAGACGGGGAACCAATCAGTAAGTCAGTCCTCTTCAGATTATCACACCAGATCAGTGTTGAGCGTCAATTAACGGCTCTTGTCGGTTAGTGTGGTTGTCAAAATCTTGCGTTGGTGGATTGGGGGAGTTTCAAATTAATTCTAATCGGGTTTGGTTCCTTAATCTTCCACTTCAGGGTGCCTCAGTTGATGATTCAACTCGGTTGCCACTGATGGATTTTTCTTAGTCTTTGTGGGATTGTGTGTGGTGGTTGAGGTCAAGTATACTTCGGATGATGACTACTCTTCCTTCTGATGACCGCACACCAACACGTGTCAGCTCGACTGGTCCAAAACCGCTTGCCAGTTTGGCGATCTGCTCACTTGATCTGAATAGGCTCTTGTGTCGAAAGCGAAACGTTGCCCAAGTAAAAACTACCGATTGTTTTTCAAGCACTTCTGAAACGAAGTAGCTTAGGGATTTTCGGTATCTTAAGACGAGATAAAAACAGAGAGGACATCTCATTAAGTGTTACAGGCTAACACTCCATGAATAGGGTGATCTTGCTAATCGATGAGGGAGAAGTTCTTCATAATCGTCAGTGATCAGGAACAAATGTAATCAACCATTGACAAGTAAAGCTGAATCATGAGATAGGTCAGGAAGCCTCTTGACGAATGAGCCGATGACAGTGTGTCAAACTGCTTGGAACGCTTTGGATGTTTTCAACAATGTTTCAAACTACCTGAATGTTTGAACTGCTTGTCACCTCAGTTTTCCTCCGAAGTCTTCCTGAATAAACAACCATCGACCATAACTTTGTACCAAATTTTACTTTCGTGGATCCATTGTTTCATCTTGTGTGCAGAGAAGGTCTTCCGTCGATATCCATAAATAAGGAATTGCCACAGCCAGGGTATCTGTATCAAACTTACGCATTTCACTGTAGTTTGGCGTGCTTTGCCTTCCAATACGAGTTCTTTCACTGCTTGGTGACTTCTTTTTGGCAGGTGACGACTGGAAAGTTGAAGCACCTGTTTCTCTCCGGCTAGGAGAATTATTGGAAGAGGCCGGACGCCTTGATGAAGCACTGTCTGTAAGTTGCTTTTAGAAGACAGTGAACATACTTTCGTTTGGTTTTCACAACACGTGACAGTATGAATCATGTACATCATAAAGCTCATCCACAAAAGCTGGAAAATAGTCCTGGAATGAATACTTGTGGTGTACATAGCAAACAACCTCAGGCCATTGTGTGTCCGGATTCACTAGCAGATATTTGAAGGCTTACGGATCAGCCAGATATATTTCGTTGCACAAATCCCCTAAACTATCTGCACATAATCGGAGGGATTTTGAATTCATAAAATCAGTCTCCGCTTCATGCTAGGCTAGTGCTGGAAGTCTGTAAATTTCTCCAGCTGACACCTGAACATGTGAAATAAGTGGTCATTCAGCAAAGTTGGTCTACACACTTGAGCTGGTCGGTGGAACCACTGATTAGGATTCACCTTATTCAGTCAGGTTAAAGTGTGGATAAGTCATTAATTGTTAATTTTGCAAGGTTTGTAGACGATGACAGCTATTTAACAGTTTACCCAGAGTCAGCTTTTTTCAATGAACTGCATGAACCCGTCCTATTATTTGAGAGTCTGAACATGTGCCCGGCATTTGGTTTCAAGTCGTCTGCGGTATAATCAACAGGGACAGCAGGACCCGTAGGTTCATGAGAAAAACTGTATGGTATAACATAACTTCCACCGACTATTTATCGGTTCGGAAGTCAGCAATTTGCAGTCTTTGGGTACCACTTACGTGGACACCTTGTATGCATGTGACTGATCTTAACTGCCCTCTACAATTCAGGTAGAAGCACTGGAGGTTGTGGAAAATTTTTGCTTACCTCGGTAGTTGTGTTGGTTCTGACGAAAGATGAAGACTGCACGAATCTCAGAGATCCGAGACACGTTTGCTAATTTGCGCCACTTGTGGCGTCCAAAAGACATATCAGTGAGTCTCAGTGTTTTGCCAGGCTAAGTAAGGGCTGTGTTGTTGCATGGTTACGAGACGGGGACTCTGCGGAAAGATGATGTGAGGCGCCTTTATGTTTTTGACCGCCGATGCCTCAGACGCAATGCTGGTTTAGGATGGTAGCAACGGATCAGTGAAGAAGTGATTAGAAAACGAAATTTGGTTGTGCAGCAGGCGCCTCAATCGAGGCACCTTATTCGGCAACATTGACTGGGCTTTGTCCTCTGCATGCCGAAGCACCGTCAACCCAGAAGAGTGTTGTTGTCCGTGCCTCTTTCAGGATGACGGAAACAGCAAGCTTGACAATGTATTACTCGGTAGAAGGGCATGAAAATGATTACTAAGAGTTTAGATGTCGTTTTTGAGACACTTTGAAGGATGGGTACTCCCTGACCTCGTCCCCCGCGCTTGACTAGAGACATTGGAAAAATAGTTTTTAATTAAAATCAGTGACGTTCATGCAGTCAATGTTATTCCGGACTGCCTGATGGAGCGCCTGAAAATGTAGGCACCGCAGAATGCTTGAGACAGGCCAGGTCCGAACTCTCACCCATTAGATTCTCTTCTTGTCACTCTGAGGCTTTATTTATAATTAGCTAGTATGACTATAAAATATTTTGATATACTGGTGTATCGTACCAACTGAAACATGAGGCGGCCTGGTGCAACATAAGCAGTTGGGGAGGAACACCATAAACTGGAGATTCAGTTGGGCCTCCCGTGACATACAAATGAGTGTATTTCCCTATTTTGGTGCAATTTGGGTTCAAGTAGAACACAAGGTTGATAGAACCTCGGGGAATAGCTGCTTCTGATGAGCTACAATAAGGTCGAAACCGCTCGTGGGCTGTCGAAGAGTTGTCGGCAACCTTATGAACAGTGTATTGAGTCTATATAATTGGTTAAAGTATGTGGTCATATTCCAGTGAAGCATCATTGTCAACACTGGTGTTGTCGTCACTAGCTTCTGTAATAATAACGGTACTGGAGGTGTCGATAGTCTTAATTGCTCATCCGGATCAGAATGGATCTGCTGTCTTACAGGCAGTACACGGATGAACAGGCCTTCAGTTTGCCTCAGCACACTCAGACGTCAAAAGACAATCCAGGATTAGACTAACCACACCTCGAAACGTTTGGAAAGGTTATTATTCCAAGTGGACGAAAGCTTCATCATATCCGGTTTGTCCTTTGTGAACAGCAGTACCATTGAGAAAAATCCCTACAACTCAATCCTGAAACGAAGACATTCCAAACAGCGGGCTGTTCAGATCACTCATGAATCACTCATTAGTGAAGCTTCCCCAGTATGGTGAATGTGTGTTTCTACTCAGCCGAAACTCACTTGTTGTCGCTGATAGCGGAGGCCAAGTGAGCAAAAAGTAGAGATCAGGCAACTTAAAAGCTACGGGATTCACTCAGGAAGTAGACCCCGTTTGTGAAAAATTTCAGGTGCTTTCGAGTCCCGTTCCTGCATGCACATGACTTGTATACCTTCGATACAAATGACCTAAAAAAGAAAACCCTACACAGTGGGTGCATAAGAGTTCAGAAAGTCTGAAAGAAACGATATTCCAATGTATGTGGTCTATCTCATTCGTCCAGTAAACTTACTTCGATTTCTTAAAATATATATCGTGGGATATAGATAGATAGATAGATAGATAGATAGATAGATAGATAGATAGATAGATAGATAGATAGATAGATAGATAGATAGATAGATAGATAGATAGATAGATAGATAGATAGATAGATAGATAGATAGATAGATAGATAGATAGATAGATAGATAGATAGATAGATAGATAGATAGATAGATAGATAGATAGATAGATAGATAGATAGATAGATAGATAGATAGATAGATAGATAGATAGATAGATAGATAGATAGATAGATAGATAGATAGATAGATAGATAGATAGATAGATAGATAGATAGATAGATAGATAGATAGATAGATAGATAGATAGATAGATAGATAGATAGATAGATAGATAGATAGATAGATAGATAGATAGATAGATAGATAGATAGATAGATAGATAGATAGATAGATAGATAGATAGATAGATAGATAGATAGATAGATAGATAGATAGATAGATAGATAGATAGATAGATAGATAGATAGATAGATAGATAGATAGATAGATAGATAGATAGATAGATAGATAGATAGATAGATAGATAGATAGATAGATAGATAGATAGATAGATAGATAGATAGATAGATAGATAGATAGATAGATAGATAGATAGATAGATAGATAGATAGATAGATAGATAGATAGATAGATAGATAGATAGATAGATAGATAGATAGATAGATAGATAGATAGATAGATAGATAGATAGATAGTGCAAGGCAATAAGCTCTGCTTCAGACGAATAAGCTACATGTTGGTATACCAGTCTGTTTAACAGCACTGATAGATTGAAGGATGACACTTTTCTTGTATCATTCCATTAGGTTCGACGTGAATTTTTTGAAAAAGCTTGCATGAAAGGTGACTATTTGAACCTCGGCCGAGTTTGTGAAGCATTGGCCAAACTGTGTCACAGGTGCGTCTTCTGCATATTTCTGTCTTTTTATTTCCTTATGCAATACAGTTGTAGGCTGTTATACAGGGCTACGGAATAAGTATTGATTCAATATTTTTGGAGTTATTATTGAGAAGCTGTCAGTGTTGTTACGGGATGTTGCTTTTTGTTTTGAGTAATAATGGGTCGTTTAGCACAAAGCTACTTCAGTTTTGGCGGCTGAAACGCTGGGAACGCTTAACCGCTATACGTTCCCACTGTATCGATGTGAATCCATGCGGTATGAGTAACAGTTCGTTTCAATTCAGTTCGTTTTTCAGCCAACAAACCGCACACCCAATGGTTGCGGTTCCAGCCTCTACGTCTTTCTTCATCGAGAAAGCGGGAATAAGGGAATAAGACCCATGCTTTGGGGACGGTGGCTTAATCACTTAACTGAATTGGAATACTCCTGTTCGTCCGGTGTGGCCGGGTTAGCTATAAAATAAAGGCGGTAACTTTGATGCACCACCAACATTGGCTGCGTGGCATAACCAGGGCCAATAACCTTTGGTTCATCTCATCCTGCGGTCCCCATCATCGAGAGTGGCATTTAACAAATTGGTTGAGTTGGCTGGCAAGGGCTTTCACGCTTCTTTGCCAGGTCATGGACTGAAGGCCCTTAGGTCGTTTCCATCTGATACAAGGATAGACGAATGAGGCTCTACAAGGCAAACGACCATCCAGCATACGAAGTACTTGGTCCAACCAGCGCAACCTGTGGAGAGAGACCAATTGATCAATCAAGGGATAGTTAACTTTCCCGAAAACCATCCGACATCACTTATAATTACTGCTTTGATTACTGATTATCACCAGATCCGCTTGATGCCTTGGAGGCACCAGTGACAAAACACGGCGAGTCTCCGAAGGTGTTTCGCACGCAGCCGCCAAAGCACTGATCGATGGAATAGGACGGATGGGACAGCGGCATTGTACACTTTGCCGTTGATAGTCCAGCTGAGGTCACGTTACTGCCACAAATGTCTAAGGTTGGTAAACGTCTCCATGGACTTCCCAATTCGGGAAGTGGTTCTGTCTTTCACCAGTCCGGAGAGACTCATGTAGCCACCCAGGCAGACGGACTCATCCACCACATCAATCGGTTCACCTGCAAGAATGAGATTCGGGTTCGATTCTAACCAGACTTGCAGCAGTATTTCACGAGATGCAGACGCGAAGCCCCTATCAAACTGTGCAGAGGAATTAGTTGGGTTATTTAAAAATGATATGCATCTTTACACGTTATGATCCAAGGGCAGCAACATTATTGGCTTACCCAGTGTCTGCAAACGAACTCACAGAAGTGTTTTGATCTTCGAGGTGAAAGAGGCAGATATTAGAGATTCATGGAGAACAACGATAACGTTATCAAAGAGGAGGGGTGGCAGTGGGCATCCTTGACTGACACCACTGGATGTGGTGAACGCAGGAGAGAATTCCACGTATTCACCTACGCGTTCGGGGGACGAGGCTAATAGAGCATTTATAAGGGACAATAGTTGAGGAGGGATACCCTTCATCGTCAGAGTGTTACAGTTTCCGGCGATCAACTGAGTCGAAGTAGATCTGTCGTCGATAAAGACGCAAGCAAACAAGAACGAGAAAGGTGATGCAAACGGCCTGGTTCAGATGGTCTGTTGGAGAAAGCAATAACGTCCCACTCTGAACTTTCGTCGACATGGGCCACCAGTATCCACGTCCCGCTCTGATTCATTTGGTCCTTCCAGAGTTTGAGCTGCAGGGATACAGCTGACCTGTTCTTCAAAGTGCTTAGCCCATCGTGCACGACGGCAGTTCTGTGAATAAATTGAAGTCCCATCTTTTTCGGAGGTCTTCTTACCAACACCTACCCTCCTTGGACCAGCTGACCGGATTAATTTAAATAGGGTGTGATTTTTCCCTGCTGCAAGAGCTCTCTCCATTCTTTGGGCTCCTGCGGTCAACCAATGCTTTCTGTCAGTCTTTTGACATTTCATGTTAGGTGTTTGAGGGCTCTCCGTGAGCTATCACAGTCGTTTGTGGCTGGTACGTTTTTCCTGGTTTCAATGAGTGCTGCTGATCGTGACGAGATTCATTGTTCATTGGAGCGTGCGAATGACATCTGGCAGGCGGTTTTTAATGCTGTGAGAATGGCTTCTTCCAGCTTTTTCCATCCGCCTTCCAAGCCCATTATCCTTGCTCTGATCGTCAACCCCGAATTGGCTTTCAAGACGGGCCTCCTCAGGATCTAGTACTGACCAACCTGGGCATTCATATCACCTGCCAGAGTCACGACATTTGTGCTTCTTGCAGACCAAAGTGGTCGTGACAAACCTCCATAAAAGCTGTCTTTCTCATCCTCAGGGCTGCTCTCTATCGGAGTGTCTGCTGACACAACAAACATTCACCGTTTACCACATCGAGATGCACTGATATTCATGGAACCAGACAACCTAACCGCTCAAAGGTGATTATTAATGAGAATACAGCCCAGTAAATTAGACGCATCCCAGAAGCTAAGCACAATTCCCACGTCTCAGAACCATGGACCAATGCATCAAGGTCACCAGACACCCCAAACATAAGGTGGGAGAATTATGGGTTCGCCTCAAGCGGTTCGAGACGAATGACCAAACTGGGGTCTTCCATGTATGTTCCGGATACACAACATTGATCAAAGGATGGAACAAGGTCTGAGCAAGAGCCCAATTTGAAATACAGTACATACCTTGAAAGCTGAAATGTGAAGCAGATCTCTGAAATTTAATAAGGATTTAGTTTGATTTATTATACCAGGCCGAAGCTTGGGTACGGAGCAACAATCAGGTGAGTGACATCTAAATGGATCAGGACTTGGGTAAGGGAAGTATGAGGAGGAGTCAGTGAGTGAGTAGCTGTAAAGGCGGATGATACTCTCAGGCCACCCAGGCCGAAGAACGGGGTTTGATCGTGGTACGCCACTTTGAGATTTTGACCAAAAATCTAACCCACATGCCAGTGGGATAGCGTATACTTTTGTTCGGGGACCCCGCCCCTAGTCTCTGACTCGAAATTCTGACCCACATGGCAATGGTTATTAGAGTTTTATTGAGGAACCTGTCCCGGAGCCGACGACTCATTAATCTGACCCACTTGGTTGCAGGAGGCTGATCTGGCCAGAGGACGCAGGGAGTCATTCATAATAGTCTTACCCTAATGCTATCGCTTACAACAGATGCCTTCTAAGCAGCACCAAGCCCTTTGGTGTCAGAGGAGTTTTGGTCGTATTGAATAATACGCCAGCGGTCACGGTTAACTGTTAGACGGCTAGAGTCTACAGTTTTTAGTGCTGACATTTTCTAACCCGTCCTCTACTTCCACTACTATGGGCATGTTGAAGGGAAGGGAACATCTTACTGCCTCCAGATTCCTATTACAGAAGACAATAAGACTTTCCTCCAGACCACCTTGGTTACACGACTTCTCGCAGTACGGTGATTCATTACTCTTTGTTGGGCTACTAGCCTTAGTTAGGCCTTTCTGGCATGGTTGAACCCTTAGAATCTGAGTTCCAGCCCCCGTAGCACGCGAGGTCATTGTATCACAGACCCCTGAACATCACTTCAAGATGTCACCTTTAGTTCGAGGTCCTGAATAAGGAAATCTGACTTTATTAAGCTTCCGCAGAAATGGCTCCATAGAAGGTGGAATTCTGACTGTAATTCAGGACCCACGTTCTCGTATTACATTATATATATATATATATATAGTATAATGGTAGTGGACCTTAGGATTAACTAGCATTAATGTGCGTCTCCACCCTCGCCCTCGAACGATGAAAAGCGACTCACGTTGAGACGAAGGCTGTTATACCGATTCTGCTGTTCTCTTATGACTCAGGGATACCACACTTCCAAACTTAAAATGGCAGAGACGTTTTGTCCATTTCTTTTCTAGAATATGGAAAATGTTCACAGGATGCTAACGACAACTAGATGGCTTTCGACTGATCATGTCCAAGATAGCTTTATGGTCATAAATGTAGATGATAGGACTGCTTCTCTCAATTGATTTAACTTGCCTTTAGACCGCCCGACCTAAAGCTGCCACCTTGAAGTGGTGATCGGGCTTGAGTGATGCAGTGATCCCGCGGGCCACACTGGTTGGAACGTCACTCTACAAGGTGCAACCATGCCAGGGAAGCCAGAAGAGAGTAGCCAGACCAAGAGCAGTGAGACCCTGTACCACGAGTTATAATGCTACGAAGCAGTCCGGGGATAAAATCGCACTTTCCTCTGAGATAGGAGCGTGAAGGCAGCGAGGCGTTGCGCCCAGGCGACCGGCACGTCATATTCACGGAGGCAACATTATCGACTTTCTCCGAAAAAGGACGGGTTGGAAAAGGTCGGCCCTGATCACTCCGACCAGGGCACTCCGATCACCAAACGGTTAACCGCGACCGCTCGCGCATTATTCACTACCGTCGAAATACTTTAAAAATCAGAGTCTGATGCTGCCCAAGAGCACCTGTTGCGCGCAACCACATCAGGAGTGAGGAACTGATGCCTTACTCTCTGCGTCCTTGGAGTAAGCCAACTACCTGAAGCCAATCAAGTCAGACTATTGAGTCATTGGCTCTGCGCAGGGTTCCCACAGAAAGCCCTACCATATGTTGCCTCGCGGATTAGTTGTTTGAGTCAGAGCCTAGGGGCACGGTTTCTAAACACAACCGTACATCCTTCCGCTGTCTCTTGGGTTGGACTTTTGAGTCAAAGGCTCAAGGTGGGGTATCTTAGTCACACCTTCTTCCTCAGCCCGGTCAACCGGGAAATATCACTTGACCGCAAGTCCCTCCCCAACCCCTTCCACCAGACAGGCAAACATTGCTGGGTCATTTCGCTGTCAGTTATCCGACCGATGGGCCTCACTCGAACCTCTAACTAATAACAATAAACTAAATAACACCCTTCTAAACCCACGAAATCTTTTCTATATATGAACTTTTACAGCCCGTACTCTATGTCAAGTTGACAAACAGACAATGCACGCTGAAATCTTGTATTCGCTTAAAATTGATGTGTGCTGTCTCTAAAACACGCACACAAGACCCGAGCGTGGTTATACATCTTAGAACGCCAAGGATGAAATCAACATTTTCACATTTTCCCTCAGTGCATCCGTGGTCCAGAAGTGATGACTCGTGCAATATATGGCATGGGGGTTGCACTCAGCCATAGAGCTGAACGCACTTGGCTGGATTGGATCCCAGTGAACAATCGTTTTTACGCCGTCCGGTTATCCAGCTAAATCAAGCTCGGTGCTTCTGGATATAAAAAGTGGTACCTGTTTGTAGTGTCCGCTTATGCTCAAACGGACTGCAGTTCTGAAGGTAAAAGGGATGCTTTTAATCGAGATGCATTCAGGCTCAATCGTCAGGCAAGAAGTATTGACATTGTGGTTCTTGCGGGCAATGGAATCTCGTTTTGGGAGACTGATTTTGGAGTCGATGCTCGTCACATGGAAACGGAGAGCGACTTGACCAGTTGTGTGCCATTCATTAACTGTTTCTTGCAAGTGCGAAGTTCCAACATGAACGTTCACATCGCCCAACCTGATGGCCATCAACTGCAAATCAACCGTGGACCCGTTGGATCAAGTGGCCATCAGCCACTGCTGGAGAGCTTCAATTCAAGACCGCCGTTCCTACTGGGGGCACACGACTTGATTCCGATCACGCCATGGTGCGTGCACACCTGCCAGTTCGTTCTACTTCAGGCCCACGTAAATTAGCAAGAACGATGCCAATCCACCATCTTCGAAAACTAACATAGCTCAACAGTATAGATCTCAGCACTAAATCCCTTGCCTGTTCACCTTTATTCTTTTCTTCACAATCAGTGTTTCAAATGCATCATGGTTGTACGGCAGCAAAGTATTAGTGTTGAACTCTGATGTCGTGCTGTCTGTGACGATGATGATGGTGATGATGATGATGAGCTTGTCCAGCAACTCCTCACAGTAAACCGATACCGTATCGATCGTGAGCACGTGGGCGAAATGTGAAAGGAGCCGTGCTAATGGCATTCATTGCTGTCCGTATGACTTCCTTGATACAATCAAATGACCTCTGGATATCATCGAGATCGATAGTCCTGATTAATGCCAGGAAATTAGAACCAGCAAACAACGAATATGATGGCACACGCACATCTCTGAAACGTCAAACGGTGAAGAGCCTAAAGAAAGGCCGAAAGCTCTGGTGGGAAATGGAGAAGGCTTTTCTACCGGAAGCAGCCGTGCACCATATCAAGTGATACGACTGACTAGCTCTGAGAAAGCAGAACTAAGCAAAGCGATAAGTGAAAAAGGCGGCTTGATATTTTAATCGCAAAAACGTCGACTGAAAAGATGATCCGAACACTTCGAAGAACAGTCCAGCCGGTCTCTTGCAACACGGCCTGTGGAGATAGTGCATACCGTCGAGTGGGATGTAAACCTTAGTCGCGCGTCGGAAGAATTAAAGTGGGAAATATCCATATTAAAACTTGAGAAGGCACCAGGACCGGATGGTCTGTATCCAACTCTCTTCAAAGAAGGCCGAGAATTCCTGGTGACCCATGTGACAAAGACTTTTAGTGCAGTATGGAATGAAGAGGAAATGTCTGTAGAATGAGGCCTGTCGACAGGTATTCCTATCTTCAAAAATGATACATGGACACTGTGTGAAAGCCGGCGTGGCACTAACCTGGTAATTGTGGTATCGAAGGTGCTCTCTGGTCCTATCTTTCGAAGGTTGACTAAACACAGGGAGAGACATCTGTGAAAACCAAGCTGGGTTCCGTTCTGTAAGAAGATGCATCAATCGAATCCTCACCCTCCGACAGATTATGGAACAGCGACACTACTTCTAGCAACAGGCACTGGTTGTATGCCTTAACTTAAAAGCCGCCTTTGGCTCTGTGGACCGTCAGGCGTTATGGCAGTGTCTGAAGCAAAGGTGTCCCCCGTAAATTCTTGACCTTCCTTAAGGTGCTGTATGCCAACTGCCGGGGACATGAGTCTACGGGAAGCCCTCACCTGAGTTCAACCACAGCAAGTGGTTTCAGGCAGGCTGTCTTCTTTCAACTCTCCTCTCTAACTTAGTCATTGATACCATCATGGACGACTCATTATAAGCCTCTAATTTCTGTGGAATCGAAGGGCTCCCGGGACGTCCGCTCACAGATATCGAGTTCGCAGATGACATAGGTCTTCTTGGGTCTGATCCCGTGGTGATGCAAACAATATTAACTAGTCCGATTAATTCTGCCTCATGGTTTGGCACGCGCTTCACACCTGCGAAGTTTAAAATACCACTGCAAAACTAGGTGGGCTCGAACCCTAACTTCATATTTCCGGATGGGCCGATTGAGTTAGCAGACAAGTTTTTCTACCTGGGTAGATGTGTCATTTCCGGTGGTCTCGCGAAGAATGATATCTCCATCCGGATTAGGAAGGTCAGAGCAGCTTTTGTGGGCCTGCATCACCTGTGGAGTAGGCGTGACGTCAGCTTATCCGTCAAGGGTTGAGTTTACAATGCTGCCGTGTGTGGATCAGAAACCTGGCCACTGCACGCTGAAACGTCAAGACTTTCCGTGTTTGATCACTGATGTCTTCGTAGCATTGCCCTAGTCTGGTGGGAACACCGGATCAGCAATTCTGAAGTAAGTTGAGTGGTTTTCGGAAGAAACAACTCACTCTAGATAGATTAACTGATCACACTGCATAGGTTGCACTGACTTGGCCACGTGCTGCTTATGCCTGTCGAATGACTTCCTCGAAAGTTTCTTTTCGCACAACCACGCAGAGGGTGGCGACGAGCCACGGGAGCTATGGCAGTCACTACCAGCAAACTCAGCTGTGTTGGTCATTGCGGTCTCCTTGGATGGGGACCTCGAGACGGGTTACATTGGTTAGAACGATTGTCAGACATTGCTCAGTCGCGCTGGTCCATCCAAGCTATTGTTCTTGATGCATGGCTCTCTTCCCAACCCCCCCACTTAACAGTCCACTGACAGTGCTGCATTTGCGTTCCAATTTATCAACTCACGCCTTTAATGCGCAGCCACTTACCCCACCTCTCCAAATCATTGTCGAACGAAACTTTGGTAGCTGTAAGCATTGTACAGCAGGTACGCCTTTTTTAAAGCGCCTTTTAACGATAATGATAACGCCCTTAGACAAAATGACTTTCGTTTGTCACTTTGCGCTCATAAAATTTTCTCGCACCCAAGTTTCATCAAACTGGATCCGAAATATGTGATTCCATATACAGAGGGACCTCGAATGTTTTCTGCTGGTCATGTGAGCTGATCCGATGTTTCTTGAACCACAACATACTATAGCACGATGAATACAGAAGTTTCTCCTTCACACAAGTTTTTCCTAACGGTACCATGTTACTTTCTCTTCTGGGAGTAATCGAAAAATACGTAACAACGCCGCGTGACCAGAACAAGTCACTCGTTATTGCCTTTTTCCAGGATGAACAAAATGGAAGAAAGTATCCAGTATTTACAAAAGTTCGCACAGTCCTGTGAACGGCATGGACAGTGGCTGGAGCTTGGTCGGGCATGCCAGATGCTGGGAACTGCCTATGATACCGTCGGCGACTACACCTCGGCTCTGAAATGGATGAAGAAATCTTACAATCTCCCACATATGATACAGGTAGGCATCAGCCCCTGACATCCGCTGATAACACTAGGTTTGAATGTTCCGGAGCCAGATAATTGTTGTTTAAATCCAAATATCAGACTGGATACCTTCACAGCATGCTTGACGCTTTGTTCACCACCAGCATTGCTATGAATCGAGCATTGCCTTAGCTATGACTCACAAATTAAACCAGATTTCAGCGGCAATCCATCATTCTTTTCGCTAGATCTGTTGGATCGGTTGCACAGAATGAACACAGAATGAACGTCATCACCTGTTTTTTAACTACACCCGCAGGGACTAAAACCGGATTTGATGAAAGATACTACTGAGGCCGCTCGCATTATGATAGGTGTTTCACGGGCACACCTTATGCACGATCGTTATGCTAAAAACGTCCTTCAATCTACCTCAAAGTCGGTTCATCGAATAGTCAAATGGAAGGCTAGTCCTAAGGACGAAGAAAAACTCTTTGATCTCCATGAACTCAACGTTCCACGTGAGTCTACTGCGTTATTGGGTTTTTCGTTCAGCCTTAGCCAATTGGTACATCACACAGCGGCATTTATCCGCACTCATGAACACCGCGGCCAGCTTGGATTCCTCTCTGCGGGGCCTCTAGTTAGTTCATGTCTCTTGTTAGAATAACAGAGGGTTCCATTGAGCAGTTGAGATAAGTTACTGGTCTTTTGAACACAGTAATATTAGACATTATGTAATGTGCCTCCTGGCCAAATCCGCCGTGAACCATCATGCTGCCAGAAATTCGGCTCACTGTCACGTGTCTGCTTGCCAGGATCACTTTTTTCCAGTTAAATTTATCCATAGCCAATCTGGACGAGCCAAATAATTTAGCGCGGTCGTAAGATGACGTTCCCGAGCGCCAAATGCAGTGGTTTTCAATTACTTGGCGGTCTTTGAAACTATGCGACAGCGAAGTGCAAAACAGGGCCATCCGAAAGAAAACTCAGGAATTTGTGATTTTCTCCATTGCAAACAGTGTATTTTTTATTCTAGGCAACCAGTCTGTGAATATGTTTCACTGGAACTCTGAAGACAATTAGTTCCCTGGTGTTGACCTTAGGTAACCTGTATCTTTTCGCTTCCCTATATCAGCCGTCTCGAACCCATGAGGTTTCCTGAAAATTAGGCAGCAGAACATAGATGGCTCGTTATAAACCAAACAGTTTTGTAGTTGCGAAGTCTACCAAATACTGTGAACCCTCTTAGAGTGGACACAGAAAACAGCCACCAAACTTTTGAACATATTGAGAGAGGATTTCCCGTCAACCATAATATATTGTGAAGTCTCTCATAAAAGCAGTGTTGATGTTCAGGTGATACGCTCTCCTGCTTGCAGCGCGCTTCCACAAAATGACCGGTAAACATGCCAAAATTCAACAGACATCACTTTCATCATTTGACGGCCACATCACACGATGACACGTGTTGACTGGCTTCTCGAGCAACGACTAATTCTCAGGTGGAAGTTTCACTCACTTCCACCGAGCTACTTGTAGATTGTTGGTATTGTGAGGAGGAAGGATGAAACAGCTGTACAGTGCTTCCCAGCTTTTCAGCATAGGTTGGCTTCACCTACAGAACGAAGCGAACTGAAAATTCACAAGCATTTCAGTTCAATACGCAAGGTGAACTTTACTGGTCTAAAATAGCAGATACTTTCCCTCCCGAGTATCACTTGAGGCTTTTGGTCAATTTCGGCGGCAGCGGTTGGTATCTCACCCACGGTCATGGGAAAAAAGAAATGGAGATAAGCAAAATAGGACTTTTGATGGAGCTAAGCCTGTATTGAGGGAATATATGGGAGAACAGTTTAGTACCTGCTAGGAAGAGGTCAGCAAAGCGCTTCTGGTGGAAAATATATATTAAAAGGAGTATCGCATTTGTTTTCTTCGCAATGGTGTAGCCCATGCTGTTATCGAGCTCCGAAGCACCTCAGGCAAACAAGGAGAATCTAGAAGGCTACATCTAATCTGCATGAGGAGAAGGAAAATACATAGGCGTGTGCTTCTTCTAACTGTTCTGATATTATAAATTGCATGCCCCACGGACTACCTCCATCCACAATAAAGCATTTATTAATCTTGGTTTGTTCACCTTCCTGTAATAGTTAGAAATAATTTCAGACAGTCAAATACTACGAAACCATGGGAACAAACTGAATGTCTGTGAAGGGAGAAAAAAATTCATGGTGTACCCTCTTAGTGATTGTAGTATCGTATCATCATCATACCGATGGTGAGTAATAGTAATAGTAATTCGTAATATTCAATCAGAAAACTATGTAGAGGTGCTTGTTTTCAATCGAATTCCATGGACAATATTCACTTGGTCGCTGAAATCTTACTGGATGCATGCGTGCGGGTATTCTAAACAATCGGTGGTATCGTTTAAGAGGTTTAGTAAGCAATCGGTGGATTTACTGCTGAGCAGGGTTTCGCTTTCGACACAAAATTCTCGTCAAGTCAAGTGAGTAAGTTGCCAGGTTGATCGGATTGCAAGGCAGTCAGGGAACCACTCCGAGGTATTTCCTATGACTAGCCGACTTTATCGGTGCTGAGTATCGGCCCGAAGTTCCTGTTTATTGGTCAGTGTGGATCACCATCATCATATCAGCTGTAAGAACCGCGTACTTCTCGCACAGTGGTTATAGACAGATTGTTTATGGGGATTGTCTTCATGATGAATCCAGATGATCACCATCTCATATCAGCTGTAAGAACCGCGTACTTCTCGCACAGTGGTTATAGACAGATTGTTTATGGGGATTGTCTTCATGATGAATCCAGATTTTGCGACCTTGCGTTTGCTGTCTAGGTTTGTTTAGTTATCAGCGTACACTCGGACGGTGCGATTATAACAAGAGTGGGAATTGTGAACCTACCAACGCTACAACCTCAACAGCTGCCCCACATTTCAGAAGTACACACTCAAAATGAGCTTTTTAGCTTCCAGCTTGTGAGATCTGTCTATGGAGTTACCAGGGTTTTCATTTCCGGGGCAATGAGGTCAGCAGAGCAAGTCAAATATTCCCAACTTTGTGAACTATGTTCGGCGATATGTAGGCCTTCAGTTCATGAACTTTGGATTTTCAGCTGCAGGTGCCGGCTATCACCGGTTACTCGCTGTTGCGCTAGATGTTGTTTGAATAGACCAACCAGTTTGCTTAGCACCGTATCGTGTAAGCATGAATTTTCACTAAACCTGAGGGATGTTTTGCTGTAACCAGCTAAAGTGTTCGAACAAGATGAAATTCTTATGTCTGACTAAAAATCTTTTGAAGCCAAAGCAGTATGACACAAGGAAAAGACTAAAGCATCTTGCTGGATGGTAAGTGGCAGTTTGGGCGACACAGTGTGAGAGAAATCCGTTCTTCCCCTTATTTTGCCACTACATTCGAGAGCTACTGTTACAATTGATGACCTGTATTACCCACTCTGTTAATGAATTTACAAGAACGTTTCGTTGGCACTTAGTCAAGAGCCCTAGTTGAAAGTTTGCATACCAAAAGACCTCCTCTTTGAGGAAGTTGCACCAGTGAAAGCTGACCGAAACTCAACCTCTAAAAAGACCGGACACAGTCTACCTACCTGAGTGGGTCTTCGCTGGAGAGCAGATTAGAAGGCCAGCTTCACACATGGATCTTAGCATACAAATTACCTCATTTTAGAGAATATGAGAATATTTTGACCGCTGTCAGTCTATTTCGATAACAGATATGCGTATCTCTCGCTTTGTGTCCACATACATAAGGAAGTTTACTGATGTCTCTTATGAATACTGTTCTTCTGTGGAAAATTTTCTTCTGTGAATACTTGTTGTTGATACAAGACCTCCTTGTTGATGTTTGTCCACTACATGCTCAGAGTTCTACATGAGTTACACTAAAAAGGCATACCAGAAAAGGCTTTATTCGAAAGCGAAATGTAAATTCCCATAATTTATACTGTCTCCAGCTGACATCCGAAACCTAGATTTTACTCTGTTTGGTGATGGTAACCTATCGAAATATTGTGATTTACTGTCAAACTGCCTAGTTTTCTGCTCTGTTCATGCTGTTCTGAGGATGCATTGAAGGCGTCTAAGGAGCTCCGTCATCTTAACGAGGAGCATGCAATTATGGGACAAGACACTGCTGTATAATTATCAAGATTCAGCTTTCTGGAGTGAATGATATATATCCAGATTTCGGCTTACTGTATAAACATCTCCGTGGTTTCAGCGATTGCTGCAGTTTAAAATGACCGACGACGCTGAACAGACAAAATCGACCAACCCCAAATGTCCTATAGCCAGAAGGTGAACCGATCAAGGGTGAACATATCTATGCATCCTGTGAAGAATGTAAAAAGCGGTGGACCGAAGGCTGCAATTCGATAAGATATTAATGTTCCACATAATTTTCATGCTAAGGCCTTCCGATTTTTTGTAATGTACTACTCATAAGGTTGCTGAAAATCCGTTGACCAACCTTATGAGTGGTACATTACAAAAATATACATGTATCGCGTTATCTCGAATATCGTAGCGACTGAAACTTAAGGCGGCCTGGTGCAGCACATTCAGTTACCTGAGAACATCACAAACGAGAGATTCAGCTGGGTTCCAGGTGAGTCTCTCGAAAAACCAAATTGGTTTGCAGATGAGCGTATATTCGCCTTCCGATTTTCCTTAAAGACGTTCGGGTAAACCTAATAATAAAATGACTGGAAACTTAAAGGGAATCGACAGTAAGCCAGCAAGGTCCGAATTTCAAATCAGTGGTTTCTGCGCGATGAACAGTTCTTCGATTTTCTTACCAACGCTCGAAAACCAAATTGGTTTGCAGATGAGCGTATATTCGCCTTCCGATTTTCCTTAAAGACGTTCGGGTAAACCTAATAATAAAATGACTGGAAACTTAAAGGGAATCGACAGTAAGCCAGCAAGGTCCGAATTTCAAATCAGTGGTTTCTGCGCGATGAACAGTTCTTCGATTTTCTTACCAAAGAAAAACATCCTTATGGACACACTACCATCTGATCAATTTGAAATCCATGTCAATAAATCAGGACAACCTTCGTGTCTTCTTCCAATTTTTACCAAGAAATTTTTCATAAAAATCTGAGAGGCCCCAAAGTGCAAATTTATTTTTATACCTTGCAGATGCGAGCAACAACTTAGCAGGCTTGCTGATTGATACTAACAGTTCCTACCGCAAGTAGGAACTTTTAGTCCTCAGAAGGTCCACTTGCCGTGATTCCGTGATCCCTTACTTGCTTCCACTTCTAGTCAAACTCATTCACTCTCTTGCGCAATAACATTGCATCTCACTCATTTTTTGTAAAGCGTTTAGTGATTTTGGATTAAGGACAATTTTCACCAAGTGTAGAATTATTCTGCATAAGATTCCGTGGTGAATTTGTATTGAAAATTCATCTTCGGGTGTACAAAGCTTTACCAGACTTGAGTAGACAGTGAGATAAAAAAGCACTCAGTTTAAATCGCTCAGTTTTGTCCAGAAAATCGTAGCATCTTTGCCAACTGTTCTTTTTCTTTCTTCCATTTTAGCTGTTACATTTATTACTCGCAGGCCAAAAAGGGATATGCTACATTGTGCACATGATCCCGTTACGGGATTTCTGCATCATTAGCTTACTCTCAATCGGAATGGAGTGTATCAGGTTATAGCTGGTTTCATCAAGGCAAAATGCGATCAGAACTTTACTTTCAACACAGCAATGCAATGATGCATTATTTGGGTAGATCAGCTTGAACAGACAAAATAAAACAATTGTTTTGGCTACTACAGCTTTCTGCTTCACAAATTGCCGGTGAGAAAATGCGTCAAATGTTTATGCCACTTTTTTTTTACCAAATTAGTCTTGACCTTACTATTCAAACTGGTCCTTGGACAATTCGATTATGATGTTTTCTACAAATGTTTTTGTAACGTCAGACTGCAAAGCTAAATGGCAAACTCAAAAAAGAGGACTCTAGTCTTCGATCAGTATTCTTGAACTTATCATGAGAAACATCACCTCAATACTCGCCCCCGTCATTCTTGAAAAAATACTAGGGTATCAAATGTGGTTTTGAAATCCAGACGAGTGTTGGAAGTTCAGCCAGTTAGTTATCTACGAAGATCCTACAGTGAAATTTATGACGAGAGGCTTTGTGCATCATGACCAGTATGTTTGCTGGGACATCTCTCACTATTCCACTGTGCCTAGAAGGGTGCTTTGATGACCTTCTCAAACAGCCCGGGTAGCAAAGCACTGGAGTCAGGTGACCTAACAAAGCTCGAGGTAAGGATGCGAGAGGCCTGAGAAAGCCAGAGCCCGGTGGCGTATATTCGCATTAGCCGAAATTTGGTGTAGGAAGGTTAGAAATAAAAGGACGACGCAGGATTACTTGAGATGGCTATCACTATAGGTACGGTCCTTCGGAGCCTAGAATGGCCTATTGTCAACTGCAAGCTGTATGAGATTACTGAGACAGTCGTGAATGAGGGAAATCCCGAAACTTCGGAACGGTGATCAGCATGGCTTGTTCCTGAAGTTTCCCCAGTTAAATGTTAAGCCTAGTCATCAGATTCGTGTATGTTCTACAAACGACAAACTATGACCAAGAAGTACACCGCAGACAATCAAACTGCACTGATAATCGAGTATAATTATTTGATATGGTAGTTGGAAAGCTGGGAATACGACCGCGGTCTAAGTTCACGAAAGCTCACTGCTATCACACAAGCCAGGCAAATACTTTGGGATCGTCGGGAGTGAAATGATGCTGGAAACGGGGGGTTAGTGTTATCTGAAGTTGAAAAGAGTATTTGTTTCACTCTTCGTCCGCCTTGGAACTGGACAAACCTTGTAACTTAGCCACTTGGCCTAATGGTGCTTCTGTGATAAAAGCAAAACGTTGTGCAGAAATGAATCAAAAGATTGTTTTTATCCCCTTCTGTAAAAGTAACTTTTCGATCTGTAGCAGAGGTTTATAATTGAACGGATTTTCTCCTCTGGCTTGATAGCTTGTACGTAGTTTCTCACCCTTGTCAACTCGATAGAAGGCACTCACACCAAGACCATGATTTTGTTCGCAGTTCTCATAGTCGATTTTTCGACACCATTCTGACCACAGCTGAGCCTAGTTTTTAAGTGTGTGTGCGATTTCTGTGCCAGTAAATCAGCTACCTCTTTGTAACTGATAACAGTATAATTGCCGGAGCACCACAACTTTTCTGCAATGGGAATCTGACGGTTCGGCCTACTCAACAGTTTCAGCTAGAGGATATCCTGGAAATTATGATGACTTCAAATCCATTCGAAATCGCTTTTTTATACCGTCACTGGTATTCTATTGTATAGACTTGATAAAACTACGCCATGCTTCCCTTCCTTTTCACCTTCCTGAAGATCGTCACGAAGAGCTTGGGCTTTACCATGGTGTAACGGTTTGTGTGCCTCTGCGACCCACTGAGCTGTCGGGAGGCCGTCTGTGTGACAATCGCAGAGTCGTACCAGGTTGGCCAATCGTTGGAGGTCATACGAAAAAGTGTTCTGGCCCTCCAGGTTTCGAGGTTGAAATACGTGTGATGAGCCCTTTTTGTAAAAATGGAAACGCACTTGCATTCCCCGCCAAGTATGCTGCCTTGCGGTCAGGTTTTTGAGGTCGAGGATCTTAGTCGTCCTCCTGCTTAGGTGTGCGCGACCTTGCAGCATTCTAGCCCACATACAACCATGAATTGCACACATAGGAAAAATGTCTACAGCAGCGAAGCATCAGTGTTGTAACCTGATGTTATGCTACCGATGAGGATGAATAAGTACCCATCTTGTCTTGACTAATCCAGTCGTTCAAAACACAACAAACGATAGATATGTCTCCTATTCTTATGAGACTGAATCACACCAAACTGTGCTACAACCATTCCACGATCCTCCTAAATGCGTTAGGGGATGATTCTTTTTACCAGTTTCACAAGACTTCAGAAACTTAGCTCCAGGAATACCCTAACCACAGTCCGAGATCAAGAGCGCTCGCATGATGTGTTTATTACGCGCACATTTTTGGACTACTTGGTCGCTATCAGTAGATGAGAATGTACGCAAAAGTTGGATATGTTTAGCCGGACCGACGGTGTTTTACCCATGTACTGGTGTACAATGAGTATACTAAGGCCAAACATTAGCTCACACCTACTTAGCACGAGACATTAACATGGTTCGTGTACCCCACATGTTTTTATCACCGAAAAACTGTCAAGAACAGTAAATCGACACACCATCGCTCATTTTCAATGGAAATGATTCACAAAATCAAAGTCCTTCAGTGGTGGCTCATTATTCTGATCACCTTCAAATGAAATCTTTCTAACAAGGACAAAGGGATTACCATATTTTCGTGAACTGTTCCTGGGAATAGAAGTGAGCACCAATGATAACTTATTTGGGCCTAACAAACCGGTACGGGCTTTTGGAACAGATGAACAGCGTTTAGCGTGGGGATTTTTCTAGATGCATACCCCCAAGCTGTAAGAAAATATAAACCTAATTTACAGCTTGTAATTTGTGTTTTATAACGTTAATCACGTTTGCGGTAGTTTGAAACCTTCACGTACGTATTTGGGGCAGCCATACAGTTACCGTGAAGTAAGTAATCCGAATTTCTAGACAGCCCGACTCTAGTTTTTCACCGTCTAAGTTCAAAGTTTTTGAATTTTATCAGCATTCTTTCTCACTTCAAACGAGCAGTGTGCCATTTTGTGTGTGCTGCTTAGCAGCAACGATCTCTGGTTTATTCATTGAGCTCATTATTATCTCACTATAGCCAGTCAACAGAAACAACTACTGATCCATTTGGAAGTTACCTCAAAGGAGTCCTCAACGAATGCGTTGCCTACTTTCATCCTTTCTGATGATAACTACTGGCCTAGTATAGCCACGCATGACATCTACCTATGATTTTTTTGTATCAATCCGTGTGTCTCTGTGAATAGGATGCAAGATGGCTCAGTGGGGCGTGATGATTCAGTTGGTTGGAGCGCGAATTTACTGGCAGGAAGGTCCATGGTTCAAACACGACCTCTTCCTCTCGACCTTCCCCGTCTAGGCTTGGGCAGCCTGGCAGTATCCCATCCCTCATGCTTCCTTCGGGTGGCATGACAGTTGGGCGCAGAAAGTGTTTTACATATGAACGAAGATTACTGTTCAGAGTGGTGGTCACTCATTAAAGTGCTCTATTCTTTGTTAAGAAAACAAGAACTCTTGAGGACTATGCTGTTATTGTCCTGTAAGCAAAATAACATATGGATACTAACTATTTGGTACGCATTTGGTGGGTATTATACGCCAGTATACTTATATATGCTTGTCAAGTTGCCCTATTCACTACCAACAAACTCATCCAGAATACAGTAGTATGTGCTTTGCATTAGCAAATGGCTTTGAGCAAAAGTAGCAAAACTGACTGCTTACAGTTTACGTCGATTTTGTGATCTCATCATTGGCTGCGCATCGAAAAAGAAACTTCCGTAATTCTCCGGATCCCCTCATTTATCATTTCTACTTCATAGCTATTGTACTATGTGACGGTCTACCCTGTTCGCCATTTTATTTGCAAGTGTCCATTTAGCTGTAATGTATATGATAACGATTCCCCGTGGTAGCACACAAGCGGGGATTCAACAATTTCTTCTGAAGTATGGGTCTGCCAAACAACAAGCTATCTTTCTACCAGATAAACACATGAATGAACACAGTATTACCTCTGACTAATTCATGGAGTAGGAGAGAACAGGCAGTCACTTGAAGAACAGGTAATCATGTACTTCGACGAATTTTCTCCATTGCATCTTTCTTTTTCGCGATGCATGTCAACTTATCCAACTCTATGTTGTGCTGGAAGAATTTTCATCAGCGTTGCGTGTAAGGTTCATATGGTCCAGGTTAACAATAGAACTACTTTCGCTGGATACTTCACCAACCAGTTCCCGGTATGTGAATCGAAGGAGCGTATCTTCGTCCTCCTCCTCCTCTCTAACTGAGCCAACTGTGCACAAAAACGTGCAAAACTTGTCTGAGACAGAGTGACCCTTATGAACTTCTTTCGACTACTCTCGAGGCAGACGCTGGAACTCTGATCTCAAATTTTCTTTTGTGGTGTGTGTTAGTGTGGGTGTGTGGTAGTTTGCACCGACCTCTGTGTCTGTGCGCCGAACCTTTGCCATTGCCAGACTGGGTCAACCATCTTTCATGCGTAAGCCTGCAAACATTTACTCGATTCGCATGTCAGCGCTCGGCGGCACTACTTATGATGTGATTAAAACGATGAATAACCCATCTGTTACTGTTCACATTTAAACCTGCTAGGATTGCTTACAGCTGATGTCCGACTTTGGTGATAAATTTTCAAGTAATTATCTCCGTATTCTTCGTTAGCTTTTGGAAGTGCCAAATTGTGGATGAAGATGAACGTAATATTCCGTGCGACTTGGTCACCTTAAAAGACTGCACTGCATACCTAAGTCAAATGTGATCGAAAAGATCTTGCCGTGATTACAAAATTGAAAAAAACCCACATTCACTAATATCGTGATATTAAGAAGAAACAGGACAGCAGATTGACCGAACACTACTTATACGTTTTTGATAGCTGACGACTCACCAATGGGTCATACGCTCCAAGTTTCCTTAAAGGATATCATAAACGAGATACCAAGGAGGAACGTAAGTGAGCCTCCCTTTGAAAACCAAATCAGTTTACAAATAAGTGTATTTCACGGCTGCTAGTAAGCA